CTTCTCTGCGTAGCGCTCTGCGTTGAGCAGCGCCATCTTCAGGCCGTCCCTTGGGGGGCGGGGGGAGGGGGGGGGTGGCGAGGGTGTGGTGGTGGTGGTGGTGGTGGTGGAGCTGTTGGGAGCGTTGCCGTTGCGGCAGCGGCAACCGCCTGCCTCTGCGGTTGGCTGCGGGGACGGCGAAATCAGCGACCGAACAACCCCAGCATCCCCCCCAGCACATCAGCTGCCCCGCGGCGCGAGCGATCAGACCACAACGGCCGCTCTGCTGCAAGGCCCCCCCGGCTTTGCAGCAGTGGTTGCAAGGCGAGCCCAGGCGCCAGCCCAGCCACCTGCTGAAGGGCAGCCTCATGGCCTTGCCGCCGTCCACAAGAGCATCCTGAGGCAGGGATGACCGCAGCCGCTCCAGCCGCGGCGCGATGGCATCGGCAGGCTCGATGGCCTGGGCGGCTGCGCGGTAGCTGTCGCGCAGCTGCTGGGCGCGGACCTTGCGGAAGCTGTCCTTGATCGCGTACGCCTCCTGTGGTTGATTACGAGAGCCGGTTTGTGAGTGTAAGCACATGGAGAGGTTGCGTGCGTGTGTGTGTGTGTGTGTGCATGTGTGTGTGTGTGTGTGTGCAATTTTGCATGCATGGGATTGTCTGTGATTTGTCTTTTCGATGAAGCGACTAAAAGGTGAAGGCATGCTAGGTGGCTGCTGACGCAAGTTGTGGGTTTGAGCTGGACTAACGTCCAAGCAAGAGCCAGCGCTCCCAAGGGGACAAGGGCGGCATGAGCTGCGCCGATCCGCAGGGGGCGCAAATGAGGCCCTCGATTCAAAAGCAGTCCGACCCCGCCCTGCCGCCCACCTGTGTGTCGATGTACTCCTTCCACTGCTCCAGCCGCCCCTCGCTCTCTGCGCGGCCGCTGCGCAGCCAGTACTGCTCCGCCGCGGCCGCCTTGCCGGCGTCGGGCGCGATTATCTCGTCGATGAGGCCGTACTCCAGGGCGTCCTGGGGGGGTGAGAGGGTGTTGTGTTTGTTTGTGTTGTGTTGTGTATGTGTTGTGTTGTGTGTATTGTGTTGTGTGCGTTGTGTGTTTGTTTGGGAGGGTGGGGATTGTGGTGAAATCGCAGATGTGCGTGTGTGCATGCGTACAGCGCGTGAGTGTGAATGTCTCTACAAGCGCATGTCAGAGAGTGTGTGTGCGCCGGGCAGCAAGAGGCCGCAAGCCCCTTTGATGTGCGCGCCTCGACCTGCCAGCGCCCCGCCACGCCCCTTTTCCTGACCAACACAGCCCTCATATCAAGCCCCACCTTGGGGCGCATGTAGAGGGGGCGCTGCATGTCCGCGTCCAGCTTGTGCACGTCCCAGCCGGTGCCGATGCTCAGCATGCGCAGCAGCTCGCGCTTGAAGTCCAGGACCTGCAGGGGTGGCGGGCCGGCCGCGCCGCCATCGCCTCTGAGACCCAGCGAGGTGCGGGGCACCGCCGCCGCATCGCCGCGCCGGCGCGGCGAGCGAGCGCTGCCTTGCGTGCGGGCCGCCGTGGCCCGCCTCGCCTCCAGCCATCCGCCCCGCCCTTTTGCACAGGCACGTGCGGGCGCTCGTGCGCGTCCTCCCAAGCGGGAGCGCGCGCGCGTGTTTGCGTCGTGCGCACCTCGCGCCACTTGATGTGCACCTCCACGGCCTGCCGCTGCCCAGTCGGCGGCACGCGCGGCTGCTGCAGCATGGCTGCTCGGGGGCGGGCGCGCAGCGGAAGAGGGGGCAGGGCATGCTTGGTTCAAGGGCGCGCGGGGAGGGGCGGGACTATCATGAGCCGTGGCCCCTGCAGCTGCATCAGACGAGCGGCGTCAGACCCCCGCACCGCTGCTTCTGCCGCGGCACGTCTGCATCTACGGCAGCGAGCAGCCCCCGCTGCTGCCATGCTTGAGCGTGCGCGCGTGCGCAGGCCAGGACGAGGCCCGGGGGCTCTCCCGCGCCGGTTGGGGTGCGCCTGCCGCACCTAGCGAGTGCGGCAGGCTCTTGCGCCAGCCCTTCTTGCCAAACGACAGCACCACCGCGGACCACCCCACAGCCAGGCCCATGTTCACAGTCGAGATCTGGGGCGAAGCAAGGGGGGCCAATAGCTGGGCACGCGCTCGGGGAGGATGGCGCAGCAAGCGCGCCTTTGGCTCCTAGATCCCGCCCAGCTCGGCCCGCCATGGCCAGGCGTCGCAGGCTGAGCGGCGCGGCGGCGCCAGCAGAGGGGCGTCGGGCACGCGGCCACCGCAGGCAGCGCTGGCTGCGGCGGCGGCGGCGGGGCGTCGGCCGCTCACCGGGTTCCTGACGAAGCCCATGGTTGACGTCAGGGCTATGCCCTCGCTGTCAAACGCCAGCTGCGGCGCGGGGGGACGACGGCACGCAAGGCGGGCGGTCGGGCGCGGCGCGTACGGCGCCGTCTCTCCAGGGCCGCCACGGCTGCGCTTCGCCGCACGCCCAAGGAAGCGGGGTGGGGCGCGGCGCGCACAGCGCAGGCAGCAGCGCCGCCTCAGAGATAAAAAGCCGGATCAGCCCTCAACCCCCGACCCCCTGCCGCGGCTCACGATTTCTCCGTCCTGCCGCGTCGTGCCGGAGCTGTTGATGAGCATCTCAATCGGCATGGACCCGCCCTGCTTCTCCAGGTACAGCAGCTCCGCCACCATCAGCTCGGTCACGGCGGGCACCAGCTACGGCACAGGTTCGAGTCCGACCCGGACCGACGGAAATATTTGGGCGAAGGGGAGAGTGACGGTGAATTTTGTTGCCGCACACACTTACCCCAGCTGCCAGGACGCAATGCAAGCGGGCGCGCCGCGAGTGAAAGCAGCATAGGGACATGTGGCACGTGCGTGGTTTTGCTGCGGGCGCACCGGCATCCCCAGGTAGACGATGCGCTGGTCGAACAGCAGCGAAGGCAGGTCCGGCGGGGGCGGCTTGCGGCGATCGCCGCGGCCTCGCCGCGCGCAGACGCGCACGGTCTGGCCGCGGCTCGCGGCCCTCCTAACACCACTGCCGCTGCAGAGGCCACTGCTGCTGCGCATGTTGGGAGTGCTGCTGATGTTGCTGCGCGTGTGGGCCGTGAAGGCCCCGCTGCTTGCGAGGGCCATTCTGCCGCTGCAAGACGTCGCTCACTATGTCTAAAACCTGGCGCACTGATCCTGGTGCCTCCCTATTCAGGAGACGTCTCAATGGGTAGCACACGGTGTGCGTGATCTGAGAGGTAATGAGGCCCGACCAAGAACAGGACGCAGCGGACCTGTTTTCTGTACGCAAGTTGGCCGACAAGCTCGGGCAGAAACACGCCGCAGGTCGAGACATTCACTCACGGCGCTTGCTGGACGCGAGCAGACAGGAGGGTGTGCGCTCCACCTGCCAAGCTGCGGCGTAGTCGCCGCCGTAATGGCTTTGCACGGTGCCTCCCTGCTGGCCCGCCCAGCCACCCCTTGTCATACCCTCCCGAAGCTCTTGAACAGCAGAAAGGTTGGTTTTGCAACTTACACCCACAGGCGCCAACGCGCCTGCGGCCGCAACCCGGTTTCAAGTGTGCTCGGCCTGATCTTCAGTGATTGGTGTGGGCCCTGCTGCTCAAATGAGAGCGCAGAGGCGGTGCCCAGAAAGTGTACGCGCCCCGCTCGCAGCAGCGCTGCACGCCCCAGGCGGGCCAGTGCAGGCACAGGCCGATGCAGCGAGCGCGCAGCCACCGCAGCAGCGGCAGCCGCGCCCCAAGAGGCCTCTGCGGCCCGAGGGACGGGCTGGCGCGCTCGCAGGCGCGGCGCGCAGCTTTACAGCTGTTTGCGCCCGCCATAAGCCCTGCAAACTCAGATCCAAAGTCTCAAAAACGAAAGCAACTGCCCAGAGCCCTCGCCTGCCTCCGCCACCCGGCTGGAAGCGTGCTGCAGCATGGGGGCGCATGCAGCTGGCAGCGCAGGCCGGGGCTTTGACCCCACACGCCTCCCCCCAACCCGTCGCGCGCGGCGCCTTGTCCGCAGGAGAGAGCGTTGGCGCCTGGCCTCTCAGGCATTGGCCGTCTGGAACTCCTTCATGAACGCGGCCAGCTTCTCGACGGCTTCCAAGGGCATGGCGTTGTAGATGGAGGCGCGCATGCCGCCCACGCTGCGGTGGCCCTTGAGCTCCTTGAAGCCTGGGGGAGGGCGCGGGATTGGTGCGGGCCGCGTCCGACAATTGTGTGTGTGTGTGTGTGTGTGTGTGTGTGTGTGTGTGCGCGCGCGCATTCGCATGCTGTGAGGGGAGGTTGACTGGAGTTGACGGAAGCAAAAGGGGGACGGCAGCGCAGGAGCTACTTGCGCCAGGCAGCAACGCTGCAGCCCGTCCCCCCATGCACTCTTCCCCAAGCGCTCGCGCCCGCGCCCGCGCCCGCGGCCAGCCGCGCCCCCAGGGTATCATATCATCCAACCCACCCGCGGCGGTGGCCTCCGCCACGAACTTCTTCTCCAGCTCGGGGTTTGAGGGGATGGTGAAGGGCACGTTCATCTTGGAGCGCGCGGCGGGGTCCACTGGGGAGTTGTAGAAGCCGTCAGAGGCAGCGATGGCGTCGTAGAGCACGGCGGCCTTCGTCACGTTGTTGGCGCGCACGGCTGCGCGGCACGGGGCGGGGCGGTGTGTGTGTGTGTGTGTGTGTGTGTGTCTGTGTGTGTGTGTCTGTGTGTGTGTGTGTGTGTGTGTGTGTGTGTGTGTGTAAAAGTGTGTTAAGCACAGGTGGCATGGAGCAGGGCTGGCCAGGTGAACAGGGGGGTTTGGCCCAGCCGGCCGTCGCAGGTGACCAGAGGGCGTCCCTTCTCTATCGCCGCCTGCCCATCGCAGAGAATGCCCCCCCCCGCCCACCGGCCCGCCGACCCCGATCCCAGCCCCGCCCCGATCGGCCCGCCCGAAGCGCGTGCGCCCCGGCGGCACGCAGGCGCGCCCCGTCTGATCCGATCTCCTCCGCGCCGCCCACCTTCGAGGCCGCCCAGCTTGATGAGGTGCTTGAACACGAGGCCGCAGATGTAGATGGCCCAGCAGGGGGGCGTGTTGTACATGGACCCGTTGTCGGCGGCCACCTTGTAGTCAAACATGGTGGGGGTGTCGGGGC